GGCTCCTTTTATAATATTTCCTAAGATCATTGATTGTTCTATCTGTAACATAAAACATTTCTCTCGAGTTTCTCCACTTCCACTTGCAGGTTGAAGGTACCGTAGGTGTAACAATACAGGTTGAGCACAGGGACTTGTATAGACTTATATGATACATATTAGCAAGAAATACGTATGCATGTATATATAGGTATTTCTAACTAATTTTATCATATAAGTCTGTGGGTTGAGCATACCAGAATATATTGCAATACAGAAGGAAGATATTGCGATATTGTCGCAATATAATTTCACATGAAAATATGGTAAAATTTTCTGATAATTGGGCTTAATTGGTGTCAAAATGCTGTCATCAAATCTGAGATCATTTGTGTGATACATTTGTATTTAATTATGGTTATTAGCATATCTATTTGACTGTTAGAACATGTTGCGATTCAGCAATATTTTATTATCGGCTTCGCATTGTGATAGATACATGTACGATATGGTCTGTGTATTGCGATATACTGGTTTTCCGATACATGGTTACAACCCTATAGTCTATACATGCTTTAATAAACCATGATCACACTAAATATCCCAATTAAGCATTGTAAGATAGCTGATATTTTATCATTTCCAGAATACACAAACAAAAATGGAAGGAAGTACTTCAACAGCTACAGCAATACACTGTAAGTCATAACAAATAGTTGGTTTAATTTTTAAACTTCATGTCAGTGGACTTGTTTCAGGTATGGATTCTTTTAATCGGTGATTAATTTTTATGTTTTCTTGACGAACTTCCGGTATTTTTTGTGTCAGTTAACAGACGATGGCCAAACGTCTAAAATATCTTTGTGTTGTGTCCAGCAGGTCACGTAGTAACGAGATATAGCTTGATAAAATGGCTGCCCGGAAATACATATAACTAGACGATATTGACAGTTTTACCAACAAATTATTTTTACTGAGAATTGTCAACTGATAATATGGAGTTAAATAACCACCAATGCAATACCAGTACAAACTAGTGATAGGGATTGGAAATTCCTTAATTATTAGCCTTTAGTGTTGATGAAAATGATTTGCTCCAATATGCATATTCAGTTCTCTTATATCATTTTTTTTCATTTTAACATATGAAATATCTCATCCTGGCACTTTGGAATGTTTGAATGTGGAAGGCCTTGAAATTGGGATGCAGAAGACCAGGGAATGTCATAGAAATAAAAATAAAGAAATATTTGCAGTGTTTGTGTTTTATGGTCATAAAACATGGAACATTTTCTTTAAGTAAATCAACCACATGCTTTCTTATTATGTCCTTGTAGGTTGGCATGGTTACCTTAACAGCGTGTATGCATACATGGTCATTGTTAGACCATTTTGATTGACAGGTGGAAATATGTCAGTTGTAGCTTGGTCAATGATTTATTATACTGAAAATAATCATACAGGAGATGGAGTGACTTTCATGTCATTTTGACATATTTCTAGTTATGTTTATAACATATATAGGGTGCTCCCATAGCTACCACTTTCTTCAAAATGTAGATTTTCTTCCCGTGGTTTTTGGAAAAAAATATCCAGAAATTTTAAATAGTTTTGAAAGTTAAGTTTTGCTTAAAACTTACCATACTGACAATGTCAGACAATTTCAGACATGCGAAACATACAATAATGTGAATTTGAATTTGGTGTACAGATAGATCTTGAATTGACAGATCTGTCAGATCAGCACAAATTACTTCAAATGGATCCCGGAGACAACATAAAGAGTTATGTCCCTTCACTTTCTTTTTCAAGATTACATGATACAAACCATTTTCCACTCATCGAATCTGTCAAAATCAGGGGGGGGGGTCCTACATGTACTACTTGGGGGACATTGAACAGACAAAAATAGATCTTCTGCCCCCATGGCAACACACTTGGGATCTTAAATCTTTCCTTTCTTTCTTCACTGTTCTGCCTTTCCTTAGTCGTGCCGCCTGAGAAGCATGGCGAACACTTAAGGATCAGACTGTCCGTCATCACAGGTTGTCGTTGGCGGCGGCAGTCACATTTAAGTTTTCCAGACTTATTTTCGCCAACATTTACCATATCAATTTATACTTTTGTACATGTATGTGGCTTAATCATAATAGATTACAGATCAAGTTCGAACCACGAGCCAATATTTTATTTTTTTCCTGGAGTTACATGTATGGCCCTTCACACATTGGAATTTCTCATATTTGACTGTTTGCCATACTTTGTTCGTAACCGCTTGCCACTTAGTATGTGGCTTTATCATAATGGTTACAGTTAGAGTCCAATCCCTGTGTCAATATTTCATTTGTTGCTGGAGTTATGGCCCTTTGCACATAAGAAATCTCATAATTAATGTTTTCCCGGAGTTATTTTCGCTACCACTTGCAACATCAATTTGTTACCTAATATATGGCTTTGTCATAATGGATTACAGTTTGAGTTTGAACCATGTATTAAAATTCCATTTTTGACTGGAGTTATGGCCGGCCCTCTTGCACATAGGAAATTCTCATAATTAACTGTTTTCCATATTATATGCAACTTAGTACACATGTATAATGGATTACAGTTTGAGTAGGATCCAGTGTTTATGTTCTATTTTTTCTGGTGTTATAGCCCTTTGCACATAGGAAATTCTTATAAGTAACTGTATTTTTTCCGTCAACACATGCACTTCCTTCGAATTGCAGTTTTCTTCTATAGGTGACACCCGTCCTCATATGACCCTGGCTGGCGAGGACATAAGTCACCAGATACAGTACATCATTTGAAGCCCTTCTGTATGGCTTGATGATGTTTTCAAACCTATGGTCTGCAGCATTACTTGGTTAAGAAGACTGAATGCCGATTAACAAAGGGTCTCTCTCATAATACTCTGACTCCCTAGGGGGAGGAGTGGGGTTCCAAAGGGGGATTCTCCAATTCAATTACACAATTTGTTGTTAGGACCCCTGCACATCTTAAGTAATCAGATTTTACCTCTGTCTGTCCTTCTATCTGTTTTTAGCTCACCTGCCAGGACAAGTGAGCTTTTGCCCTGGTGCGACGTCCTGTCGCGTTGCGTCGCATCCCGATTCAATGTAAACACTTAGCAATTTCATTCATTGACAGATTTTGGTCAAACTTTATACAAAGGTCAAGTATGGGTATACTTCGGACATCTTTGTATTTCAGGGATCCAAGGCCAAGGTCACATTTGCTATATATAGAAAATCATCCCGTCCCTTCGCATCCCGACTCGATTCAATGTAAACACTTAGCAACTTCATTCTTTGACAGTTTTTGGTCAAACTTTATACATGATCAAGTATGAGTTTACTTCATAAATCGTTGTATTTCAGGGGTCCAAGGTCAAGGTCACACTTACTACATATAGAAAATCATCAACTGATTCAATTTAAACACTTAGCAACTTTATTCTTTCATAGTTTTTGGTCAAACGTTATACATAGGTCAAATATGGGTATTCCCTTGTATTTCAGGGTTCCAAGGTCAGGCCACGGTCACTGTTGCTACATATAGGAAATCAACAACTGATTCAATTTAAACACTTAACAACTTCATTCGTTCATGGATTTTGGTCAAACGTTATGCTAAGGTCAGTATGAGTATACTTCGGACATTGTTGTGTTTCAGGGTTCCAAGGTCAAGGCCAAGATCACTGTTGCTATACATCGAAAATCATCAACTGATTCAATTTAAACACTTAACAACTTCATCCAATATGTTATGGAGATGGTAATAACATACAGAAAAAAACATGAATATTAAAGTCAACTTATCAACTTTAAGTGTAGAACCTTGTGTGTGTGCATACATGGACTTTATCCAGTGTAATAAAATGTTTGCTTAAGCTTTTTGATAGCTTTTCAGCCTTTGAAATCAAAGGTCAAGGTCACTTACTATGAATAGAACATCAGTTTGTGCACTGTATTTCGAATTCTGTTAAACTGATTAGACTCAGACTTTATCGAGTCTTTCCTGGAAGAAATTGCCTGCTTGGGATAACTTAACTCACTATAAATAGAAAACCTGTTTAATGCACTAATGCACAATATCTTGATTTCTCTTGGGCTGATTACACTCTTGACTTTATACAGTGCTTCCTCAAAGAAAGTGCCTGCTTGGGATAACTTCCAAGGCCCGGGGGTAAGGTCTCTATCACTGTTACTATATGAATAGAAAATCAGTTTATAAAATGCACTACTTATATTTTGAGTTCTGTTTGGCTCACTCAAAACATTATCCAGTGCTTTTATAAAAGAAAACACTCTTTTTTGCTAAAGGAAAACCTAACCATAGTTTATTTTAAACCTTTAATAAACATAATTACGGAGAATAGTCACGGCGGCATGTAAAATATATATATATATATAAATCTTATTACCGGTTAGCTTGTAATACTACTACTAATAATAAAATAGTTTATTAGAGTGTCACATATCGATCAACATACATACATACATACATACATACATAGTGGAATTCGCTTACATGAGATCAATATCCAGCCAATTATCTTGGCTTATGAGACACTTAAAAGACATTATATATACGTATATATACATACACATGTTAAAACTCATCATTACTGAATTGAAAATAATAAAAATTCACAGCTAGCATTAAAGTCGTATTGCCTCAGTATTACCTCACAACGGTTCCATTGCTAAAAAGTATTATTGAAATTATTTAAATTCACGACAAAGTCATATAAAATAATGTTAATAAAATAGATATTTCACGTATTAGTAAACAGTTTTCTTCTGTTGTATCTCTTCATTTTTTATAATTATTATAAACTTCGTTTCACTATCCATATCATTAAAATTATCTTTTTTTTAGCGCAGACAAGGAACACGTTATATCTGATATCGTCATATTCCGTCTTTGCGTATTGCAGAGTTATCTGCTCTTGTGAGCAGGTATTGATTATTACGTCATTTGTTTGTGAGAGTAACGTCATCAATTTTAGAGAAAACGACGTAATTTTCTCACACAAACCAATGACGTAACAATTAATACCTGCTCACAAGAGCAGATAACTCTGCAATATAGTTTACAGTCTATTGGAACATATTTTTCTGTCTCTGTTTTTCTGCTTGGAGATCGCAACATCTATATAGTCTTCAGTAATGGTCGACTGTAGGAGTGTTCTCAAAACATCAAGGTTTGTTTACAGAATGTGTGCCTCAAAATTTCATTGATGGTTGAGTAAAATAAAGTGTTTAATGGATGGTTGACTGGAGGGGTGTTCTCAAAATATCAAGAATGGTTATCTGGAAGGATTTCTTTAAACACCAAGGATGGTTGAATTAAGGTTTGTTCTTAAACCATGCATTGAAATTGGATGCTTTTATGATATTTTTGTGTGCACCATAATTTAAAATCCGATTTTAAAAACCATTAGTGTATCATTTAATAGACCAATCTATTAGAGTAGCAGTGCTGTCTGGTCTCGGTGTATTTTCACCGTAAGTCTGGAGTTAGAGCTGCTGCGACCATTGGGTCTTGGGTCACTTCTGCTGAAATCGCGACCCGGAACTGGATATCCACTATTGCTTAAACTACGGATAAGCCAACACCATTAACCGGATTCCCACTAACGGGGTTTTCTCCAATGCTATCGCCGTGCATGTGTCCATTTTGAGGCTGACAATTCTTCATTTTGTTATGATCATGGTGATCACTCTCCCCGAACGCCGATTGGTCCTGGAAGCCGTTGTTGGTGATACCGTTGTCACTTGTTTTTAAGTCATTCTTCTTCAGAATTTCTTCACCGAAATCAAGCGGATCGTCCATGTCTAGCTCCTCCATACATTCCTTTGAAGCATCTCGCCTTGAGAAACATGGCAAATTGAAACACAGAATACCCAGACGGTAAGTCAGCAGAAGTACGACTATTGTGTTCTTGAGCACGAAAAACACTAGACTGTATGTTAGCAATTGTAGATAAAAGATTATAAAAAGCCGGAGGCCCAAAAATGGTCCGTCTTGTAAAAACAGCCCGGCTATAGTGACGAAAATATCTGGGAACGAGTTCCCACACCCGGCACGAACATACCAATTGCTTTTGTCTTTCTTATCTTGTGTGTGTTGTGTGAACGAGTTGACCGCTCGCCTGTTCATCACAACTGGTATAAACTGGATAAAGCTCAAGGACCAAATTGCCAAGATAGCGTATGTTATCGTCGGGTTTCCCCGGATTGAATCCTCGTCGAATAACGCTAATAACTCCATGATGTCTGATGCCATTGCTAAGTAATCGAAGAGGAGATCCGAAAGTTCCTCCCGGGTTACCCTGCCCCTGGGTAAGAGCCAGCGACCAATCACAATCAGGTATACCAATGACTCCTCCACGACCACCAGCCATGTGTCGGCGTTGAAACTGTCTAGTAAGATCTCGATGTTGGCTATGATTCCTGCAGACTGATGAAAGAGAAACAAATCTTCATAAATATAAAAAGAAACAAACGAAACTTTGTTGAATCACAATAACTAAATTTTACAGAAGAGAACATACATGTCGACTGATACTACAAGATGAATGTAAAAAAAAGATGAGAAGGACTGTACCCTATCGAGCTACCGGTCCGCTCATAAATATACATAATAGCTGACCTCAATCTACCCGTGTACATAAGGAGAAGTATTTAAAACTGCACTCTGCCGCTGTTATTATTCTGAAAATGTGTGTCTAGTTTATTAATCTCATGTGAGAAATCTCTTTCAAATACAAGTACGTATTCAATATATTCATCTGTAAGCTATTGAGATGGGGTTTGTAAATAAGAGACTCGAGGGGTGGACTCCTCCCAGGATGTGTACTAAGGAGGCAGTGTAATTCCCGGTCCTTATGTTTACGAGTAGCTTGAATCCAAAGTATGCATGGTATTGTTCAGAATAGAGAATAATTTTAGATGATGTCTTAATGCCATAGTATGATAATATACTACATCGAGTAGGGAAATACAGCTGTATGTCACACATCGAGTAGGGAGATATAGCTGTATGTCACCCATCGAGTAGGGAGATAAAGCTGTATGACACAGAGAGTAGGGAGATCTAGCTGTATGTCACACGACGAGTAGGGAGATATAGCCGTATGTCACACGTCGAGTAGGGCGATATAGCTGTATGTCACCCGTCGAGTAGGGAGATATAGGTGTATGTCACACATCAAGAATGGAGATAAAGCTGTATATCACAGAGAGTAGGGAGGTATAGCTGTATGTCACAAAGAGTAGGGGGATATAGCTGTATGTCATACGTCGAGTAGGGAGATATAGTTGTATGTGTGACATACAGCTTTATCTCCATACTTGATGTATGTCACACATCAAGTAGGGAGATATAGTTGTATGTCACAAAGAGTAGGGAGATATAGCTGTATGTCACACATCAAGTAGGGAGATATAGCTGTATGTCACACATCAAGTATGGAGATAAAGCTGTATGTCACAGAGAGTAGGGAGATATAGCTGTATGTCACACGTCGAGTAGGGAGATATAGCTGTATGTCACACATCGAGTAGGGAGATATAGCTGTATGTCACATATCGAGTAGGGAGATATAGCTGTATATCACACTGACAATGTCCGCTGATAAATCACAAACAAAACACCAAATTCTTGTTGTATAACTTTCTCTTTTACAGTTTACATTTAAATAAAGATATGCATTGATATATATATAATGCTACCTAGCTAAAAACTTAATTCTAGCTACAAACCGACATACTAATAACAAAATATGAGCACACAAAAATATCATAATGAACACCTATGACGATAGCCAATGTTGCAGGTTAAGAATTACCGTTGTATTTGTAAAACGGATTGTAGGCAGATCTGTCGTGTTGTTGGTTAACATCTCACTGGCATTGGAAGGTGCCGTAGCTATGGTAGCGTTCACAATGTCCGAGATGTTGGAAGCCGTAGTTGCCATAGTAGCGCTCACATTACTGCCATGTGTACTGGAAATAGCGGCCAAAGCTGTGGTCATTGTTCTGGTCACACCACTGGTCACTGTCTGGACAGTGGTAGGGGCCATTGTGACATTGGCAGCAGTAGCGGCCCCTGCCTGACTCTCCATGTATTTGTTCATCTGTGAGATCTCCAGCAGCCATATGGAAGGTAACGTTATGACTAGGTAGATGGCAAAACATGGACACAACCTGGAACAGACCGGGTACAAATAAGAATAATGGCTGTACTCCTATTAGTTCTGTGTTAAGTCGTTATATGTATCGAATAAGTTTAATTTCGTTACGCTACACGTTCTTAAGTAATTAAGGGTGGCAAATGAAGAGTTATGTATACTTAAACTGTGACCTTACCGCTTCCACTCGATACCCTTGTTGACTCGGATGGTGATGTATCCTTCTAGGGCAACTAGCACCACTCCCAGAGACATTAGCCAGAACTGAGGGTTGTTCCAGGCTAGGGTCACTCGCCACGTGGCCAGTAAGTTGTGGAAAATGAGGAGAAGTCGCACGAAAATTGCCATAGCAACCGTCAACAAACTGGATTGAGACTTTTTCTCCATCTTTCAGTTTCCAGTTTCAACGACACAGAACTGAAAACAACAGGTTGTTTCGAATTATTATTGTTTTGGTGTACAAAGTTAATTGTTGTATTCATTCGCAAGTAGTTTGCTCATGCGCCGCGTCTTGTTATGCAAATAAAATCATAACCAGTTTCCGAATGAGGAGACAGAGAAAAATGGGTTTGCTTTAAATGTTAAGGTAATCTAGACACAAAATTAAACACAGAATGTTCTTCTGGTGAAACTGTCTATATACATGTAACAATACTACAAACTTTTTCTTTTTCTTAACAAAAGTATATACTTTTATCAAGTTTAGAGTTTAAAGTAAAATACCGGCTGTCATTGTTTATTTGAGCGAACCTCCTAATCCAACATAATCAGAAGTGTTGTGTTGATGTTGTAGCTGTAGATAATTTGACAGATATGCGCCACTGTTCCTTCCCCATTCCTTACCGTTTGTACAGTCCTGCTTCCACGAGTTTTAACGAGAGTACCTCTAATGACGTGGTCCACCTCTCGATCAGTCCCTCCCAGCTTAAAAGTGTGGCGAGACCAGAGACTACAACAATATATTTGCCCAGCGTCACCCGTCCTCCAAACAACGACACCTGAACGAACGAGATCACTATATTATTATACAGTTTCGAGCAAGCTTCATACTTATCTGGGTAGTCGGATACAATTTTTGTCCAACGTGATGGATAAGGATGAACCTGAATTTGGAGAACAACTAGCAGTGGTTAAGTTGACGATGTTTATCTGGATGAACGCCAACATGCTTAAGCTTAATCAGGAAAAGACGTATCTAATCGTCTTTTCCCCAAAATGGATAATGTGGCTGAGTTTGCAGTCCTACATACAATATTTGAGCGAAATCGAACAATGTCTGAATTTCGACCAATCAGAAGCCTTTATAAGGTGGCCATTTTGTCAAATCAGAAAATGGATGTAAGTAATTTTAAATAACAAAATGCAAAGATATAAGTTTAATCCAGGTTTGGTTATGACAGCACAAATACTTTGTGAGAAATTAAACTCAACACCCAGCTAAACGGAAAACTTTAACATGGCCCAATTAATTAACAAAGTCCAATTAAGGTGGCTCCACACTTTCACAATTAACCAGCAAAATTCGTTGAAACTTTCATATAATGGTTATGCAACTATGTAGGGTTGATTTTATGAAAATCTAAACATTCAGATAGTTTGGGGACTTTTTTGGAAAAAATACCAAAAAAAAAATGAATTTTTATATTTTCCGGTTTTTTGTGTGTGTGCCATTGTTCGGAACAATAACAACAATAATAAAATGAAAAGTAGCATTTCTAATTAATCCTACAAATATTTTATTTATCGCAAAATAGGTAACACATGTTACACAAAGTGTTTTTTATTGAATTTGTACGGATAAAAGTGATTATCTACAAGCTAAAAGCAAACAGGACACAAAGATCTATACATATAGAATTGGAAATTGAACAAAATATACACAATGGCTTTATAATTAATTTATTTTACATTTTACATTCACTTCGATCCGGGTGAGAGTTATCTTCCTTGAAAAAAATCGGAACTTTTTGCAGAGGGGTGACATTTACAGAATGACAGTTGTCTCTGTTTACATATAACAAAAATGATGGAAATAAATCAAAAATATGATATCAAAATTATCAATTTATTGTTCTTTAATGGAACCAAATTACCCTCAGTCATGTACACTTTGGACATCATTCCACAGTCCGCTAACTCACGGTATATTTATAATTACATGTCAG